GTGCCCTCCCTGCCCAGTTCCATGTCCCTCCCTGCACAGCTCCGTGTCCTCCCTGTACAAAACCCTCACTCCACAGCCCCTGTACCAATGGGCTCCCCAGAGCACACCGGAAAGGAGCAGGAGGGTCACACATGCACAACCCGTGCCCACTCCATGAGATCCCTGCCAGGTCCTTCACACGGCGACCTCGTACCCTGTGCCCGACCAAAGCCCGCAGCCAGCCCAGCGCAGAGCCCGTGACACCTTGTCCCAGTGGGCATTGCCACTGCCAGAGCCAGCCCTTGCCAATCCCAGCCTTTGCTAATCACAGCCCTGGAACCAGCCCTCGCCAATCGCTGCCCGCTCCCGAGCAGAAGCAAAGCCCGTGGAAGGGCTGATGTTTCCTTTCCGCCACCTCATCCCAAACATTTGCCCGCCTCCTCTTCCCTCGCCCGGGGAATCTGCCTCCAGAGAGGTCCAGACGCAGCCCAGACCCTCAGATAGCCCCCCGGCAGCCCCCCACGCACCCATGCGGCTCTGCCCACAATCCCAAAGCCCTTCTCACACCTCCCCTCAGGGAACACCCTCCCTCCCACCCCACGCAGCCCAGCCCACGGGCCAAGCCCCCAGACCCCACCCCGGCCCTTCACACCCCTCCCACTGCCACCACCCCCAAAGCCGCTCTCCGAGTCCCTCAACTAATGTGGTTTCGACATCTACGACCCGTCCCACGGGTGAGCCCCCCGGACCATCTCCAGCCCTCGSAACTGTTTCCTCTCCAAAACCCTCCAGCACCTGCCCTTCTTCAAGTCTCCCCGCTCCCTCYCGCCCTGGCTCCAGCAAGGCCCAAAGGCCCGGGGTGCTCCGAAAGGTCCGGGTTGCCTCCTAAGCCAAGCCCCAGCCCTGATCCGAGTCTCCGAGAGCCTCCCTGGACCCTCTGACCACCCCCCAGCCCAAAATCCCCTTCCCCCGCTCCTCACGCCCGCCCAAAATTCCTCCCCGGCCCCAAACTCAGGTCCCTTCCCAAAAACCCCTCACGCTGCTCCTCGGTCCCTCAGCTCCCTCCGCAGACCAACCGCCCCCGCCCCTCAACCCCCGCGCCAGCCCCCTCCAGGCCTCCTCCCCCCCCCCCCCCCCCCCCCCCCGCCCCCGCCCCCACCTCGCGCACGGAGGCGCCGTCCGCGATGACGATCTCCTCCTTGTCCTTGGGGGTCTTCACGGTGACGCGGATGAGCGCCCCGCCGGGCCCTGCCTGGCCGTCCCCGCCAGGCCCGGGCCCGGGGCCGCCGCCACCGCCGCCGCCACTCGGCTCCGCCATCTTCGCCGCCCGCCGCCAGCCCGGGCCACCGCTACCACAGAGAGCCGGGAGCGGCGCCCCAGCCCGTCCGCGCCCCGCGACAGCGCCCCCCATCGGCCCGGAGGGACAGCGGCAGCGCCGGGGCGGGGGACGCAGAACGGGAGCGCGAAGAGGGGTCCAGAACCGGGGCAGGGCAGAGTGGGGAGCGGGTGTGCTGTTTGCAGGGGTCGCACCAGCGTCACCAAGGATCCCCTTTGAACCGCCTCCATCCCTGATCCCCGCGGTCACCGAGAGCCCACGCCCGCCCCTCGCTCCCTTCTGCTTCCGCGGCTCCTCTGGGTTCCGGAGGGGACTCCGGCAGGGCCCGGGCGGGACTACATTTCCCGAGATGCTCCGCGCCCGACGCTGCGCCCCGGCGGCGCCGCCCGCCCCGCGCCCACCCCCGCCCCGCGCTCCCGGCGGCGGCCATGCTGCGGCCCAAGGCCCTGACGCAGGTGCTCAGCCAGGCCAACACCGGCGGCGTCCAGAGCACGCTGTGAGTGCGGGGAACCGCGTGGGGRACGGCTTTCCCCGGGCGGAGGTGGCGGGCATCGGGCGGTCGCTGATGCGGGGGGATGCTGCCCCTTCCTGGGGGTGTTTCCCTTGTACCTACCCCGGCCGATGCTGC